TGCAACAAGAAGTCTGAGAGCAACCGAGAGACTTGTGATCTCTGGGAATGTCCCCACAAGCTTTCTAGGAATTTCCACCCAGCTTTTAGGAAATTGCATATTGCTTTCTGGGAAATTTTCCATTGCTTTCTAAGCATTTCTTTCACCTTATTAGAGCTTTACCTTCACTTTCTAGGAATTTCCAGCTGCTTTCAAGAAATCGCTAACGCTCTTTAGAAATTTCCTTGATGTTTTCTAGCAATTGTGTACTATTTAGAGGAATTCCCTTCTGCTCTTTAGAGATTTCCCACAGCTTTCTAGGTACTGTGTATTTCTTTCTAGGAATCCTCCATTGCTTCATAGCAATTCCTCCTTATTTCATAAGGAATTCTTTCCAGCTTTCTAGGATTTTGCAGCCAACTTTCTTGGAATTCACATTTTGCTTTCATGAAGGTCCCCACACATGCAGATTTCTAGGAATTCAGTTCTGCTTTCTAAGAATATCCTGTAATTTTCTAGGAGTCCCCTGCAGCTTTCTTGGCATTTTGCATGGTTTTCTAGACATTTTCCATACCTTTCTAGGAATTTTCTGCTGCTATGAATCTCTCCTTGCTCTCTAGGCATTTCTATCAGCTTTCCCAGTATATGCTTGTGGCATATTGTTAAGTGTTGTTCCATGCTGTTTGTGCCATTGCATGCTATGTCATGTTGTGGCATGCTCTATGCTACTCTGAGTTGCCCTGTGGTATCTTGTTTTGTCATATGCTGTGCTGCTACATCTTGTTCTCATCTGTTTGCTCATGTTGCGCCATGCCTTCCTGTGTTGTTGTGACATGCACCCATATGTCACCCTCTGCCTCTGCTGTCAGAGGTTATCAAGTGCCATCCCATGTTGCTGCAGGAGTAAATATTTGAGAGTGAATGTTTTTAATTGCTCTTTGCAAAAGCCACTGGAAAGATTCAGGAGGTGAAAGTATCAGAAGTCTGCAACATCTGGTCCCTAGAGAGTGATGAAAAAATCTATTAAGCCTGGTTGAAGCAGTTGTGAGATCCTGTGGCTGTTCCCTGTGCCAGGATGGTGCCACACCTCCTATTGCCCCCATACTACATCCATAGCTGCATATTGACATCTCAGATCAGTTTGCCTCATCAAACGTCTTGTTGCTGACAGCAGTTAGCACAGATGCTTCAGGGCATTAACAATCCCACAGGAGACATTTATAAAATAGCCACATCATAGAGGCAGTGGCTTCCTAATTCCCTTGAAAAGCGGGTTTATCCCTTTAAATACAGCTTTATGTCCCTTCTAAATGCAGATTGTCTCTTCATGTTCATTCCCTTCCAGTCTTATCTGATATAACTATATATCTAGATAAATAGGAAAATTGGATCTGCATTATTTTAGCTTGACACAGTATATACAGCATGAGTAACCTAAAATTGGGTTCAAATATTGCAGATGGAGCCAAAACCTTTAACTGATTTTGTAAGTAATCCTCTATTAGCTTATATAAGGGTTTCATTACAATTTATATTGCCAAAATGCGTAGTGGTACTTGTCTGTTTGACCAAATTTCCCTTGATAATAGTTTATTCATTATCAGCTAAGACTGAGAAAACAGGGTGGTGGGTTTTGTAATACTGATGCAGACTCTCAGAAATCCCTCGCTCATGTACAGAAACAGTCTTTGAACTTAATGGCACTCCCAACATTCCTTCCAGTCTGGGGTTTGGATTTCCTCCTAAAATTAATGTACAGTAAGGCAGTAGACCATAGGAAACACTGTATATAAATGGTTCACCTTGCCCAATATTCTGCTCTTGATAGCAAAACCCAGCACAAAGCCTTCTCAGGCACCTCCCATCAAGTGTGAATGAATAGTTCCCAGAAATGTCACTGGTTTCTTCTGGCAAACCCCTGATAACAGCCAGCTTGGTGCCAAAGCAAGTTCCTAACATCATGTTCCAGAGCCAGCAAATGAATACACCCCAGTTCCTTGCGCTGCACCTTCAGGGCTGTCACCACACATTATTTCCCACCTGCTCTACAACTACTTTTTCCATTGAGCAGAAAAGCCATGACATATCCCACGCTTGCCTTTGCTCTCCTTGACTGCAGTTTGCGATCCAGGGTAGTGGAAAACCTGGTCCTGCAGTGCCACTTACTGGACTTTTACGTTAATGAAAGGAATGTGCAGCAGCTGTTTTTCTCAGTTGATTCCCAGTGCCAATTTGAAATGGTAAAAAACATAAAAAGCATTAATGTCCAATGTAAATATTATGAATACAGGAAGTTTTAAGAAAGCAAATACAGTAAAGCTGATTTCTTATATGAGGCAGTAATTGTAGAGGAACAGAAATCCTCTTTTTCTGGTCAGTGTAGGGAAGAATTTGCCTTGCAATAGTCTGAGAATTCTTCCAGCTGGGAACACACAGATGGTTAAATTCATCGTTCAATGTATGCAAAGGACTGAATGTACACCTGGAGTTTTGCAGGAGTCTTATTAATGTATTCCTTAGGAAATAAGGCAACTGAAAAGAATGCTTCTACAGGAGCTGGGGTAGGGCTTATTTCATTAATACAGTCACAGTCTCTGCACACATGCTTTCTGTATTAGTATTTCTATATTACCATTAGTACTTGCACTGTAATTTAACCACCAAGATACTACACTCTGCATGATCCTTACGAAAACACACTCCTGAGCTTACAAATGGGGCACTGACCAAGCTACATGTAATTTCTTGCATAAGACTGTCTGTGTAAGAGTATCTGGGGAGACCAGGACTTCTGAAGAACAAATCTGCAATATTCAGCTGTAGATCAGTATGCTCAAAGCCACCTTCTGGGGTCTGTCCCTCCTGATCTTCCAAGGCAGAGGGCTGGCTGGAGACCACGGCAGCCCCTCCAGCTCATTCCCCTGACCTTCCTGCTCATGGAGGGCACTGATGGAATCAGTAACCAGGTTTCATTTCAGAATGGAAGCACGATTGGGCTAAAACATACACCTGGATCTGGGAGTTGGCACATCCTCTTGGATTCTGCAGTTTTTAATACATCTGAAAACGTCTTGGCATGAAAATTAGTGCAGAGAAACACATGTAGCCAGAGGTTAGATATTCTTTGTGACTACCCCCATTCACCCAGTTGCTTCCAGATTTGTTGCCTAGGAGCAACTGTTGGTTGGCCAGAGCCATATGAAGACTTTTGAGGATTCATGGAAAAAAAAATCAGATTTGTTTCTCAGCGATGGGAGAAATGACTAGCCTAGTGAAAGAGAAGTTACGTAGCTGTTCAAAACCATCTGCACTGAGTACAGAGCAAATTATTAACTCAAGGAACGAATGAGTAGCTTTCCTTGCAGCTGCCCAGAGAAAGAATGTAGGTATTAATATATTTACATTAAAGACTCTGCAAGCAGAGTTTCTATTGTGGCGTGCAGAAAAGACCATGTGTGGTTTTAAAGGAGATTAGCAAGTTAGTCTCTTTGCCATACAAGAATTATTAGAGGCAGAAGACATCAGTCCTCAGAATGTACACCATATACCACAGCACCAGTTACACCCACTGACAAATGATTTATTTCCATGCACAACATCCAGCTGTCTCCATTTGCTGAATGTCTTTCATGCTCAGCCATTGCAATGTTTTTAGCAACAAGTGTGAGGGCGAGATACCATCAAAGATGTACCCAGTATTGGATCTGTGAGTAGTCACAGAGACTGGGATCTGCCTGATAAGATTAAAAAGAACTAAATAAACTAGCAGTAAAGTACATAAATTATGAACAAATTTTGGTGCACAAGAGAAATGCAGTGCAAGGGTATCAGTGCCAGCTTTCACTCTTTCATGATGGAATCTCACCTGGTATATTTGCACCTACAGCTATCATCTAGGTATTATCTGTAAGACCTAAGTTGTGGAGCCTTGGGGGAATCAGATAGGTGGACATCTGAGATTTGATGTGTCTGTGTCAGAATGAAAGTTGAATCTTAACTTTTCACTGAAAATCATAAACTGGGTAGGGCAGCTAAAAGCTGAAAACCAAACTCAGAGTACACAGTTATATTTTTATGGAATAATAATTAAAAAAAGAAAAAAATTTCACAGAAGTTGAGTTTTAACAGCAAAGATTTCACCAGTGAGTGTATCTCCATGAACATTTAATACCTGGGGAGAGTTCTGGATTTTTAATATAAAATTCCCATTTAGCATCCTGCAACGAGCAGTAGCAGGGGTCAGAGCTTGCCAGCCCCATATTCAAAGTGTTGAAGAGTAGGATTGCTCTGCACGCTGCCACCCCTTCAGGGATGAGACCTGTGGATAGAACAGCATTGTTACAAAGGGAATTTTAACAGAAGACCTTAGAGGAGCTGGGCTGAATTATAGATGGTAGTTGCAATCGGCCTCTGTTTGTCAGTATGTTATTCTGGTCACAAAAGAGCTAAACTAGCATTGCTTGCAAGCTGCAATTGGTATGCAGTACTGCTGTAGTTGAACGCATGTCCCTCTATTCCCAAAACACTCAGCATCAGTTATGGGATAAGACCAGCTCCTGTGTTGCTGATTTATAATGCTATCAGATTTAATGTGCTGATTCTTGGCATGTGTGTTAGGAATCTAATTTATGCCTAGGTACACTGCAAAGCTGGGCTTGAGACAGAATAGAAACAGTGCAATTGAGTATCCCTACAGTTTTTATTAAGTATCAAATGATTGCACATCACATCTCAATCAGAGAACCTATTAGATGCTATAAAGAGAAAACATGGATTGACTGTAATTTCTAAAAGGAAAGAAATGCCCTGAAATCCATTTTCAGCTTCCAACAGAATCAAAGACACGTGTTTATCTGACATTTTTAAGGCACTTTACACAAAGTTTGCATAAACCAGAAGGGATTTCATAGGAATGCATTGTCTTATTTTTTTTTTTAATTTTTTTTTTAGGATTAGAACCTAAGGGGAAATTGTTTTTCTCAAGGTTCCTTCACTGTGGTTTCCTACGAACATTTCCCCGCCGCTGGTTGTTTCCGGCAGTACGTATTAAAGCGGGAATGATGAGAAATCCTGCAGAAATCCCTCCCTACTGCCCAGCTGCCTTTCTCTGAACCTGCTCTCGCTGTTGCTCATGGCCCACCTCTCCCCAGCATCGCTTTCCTGTTACCACTCCCAGTAATGCCTCCGGCAGCTTTGCTGTCATTAACTATAACGCAATTTCAGGCCCTGAGCTGCCTCCCCAGGGTCCAGGGGCGCAACGGGCGTCTCCAGCAGTAGGTGGAGCGGCCGGAGGCAGTAGGAGGCGACCGGCAGCCCCGGCCCGGCTCCACCGGCACCGCCGCTCCCCGCTGACCGCCCGGCCCGGCCCGGCCCTGCCCCGCCGGGGCGGAGCGGAGAGGAGCGGGGCGGCCCAACCGCCTCCCTCGGCCGCTTGCCCGCGGTGCCGAGCAAGCCTCTTCCGGGCGAGGGGCAGCGCGGAGCCGGCAGCGTGTAGCGGTCGAGGTGAGTACTGGCACCGGGACCGGGCAGGGGCGTCCCCGCGGCTCGGGCTCCCCGAGGGGCTGGGCCGCGGGCTGGGAAGCGGGTGGAGGATCCTGCCCCGGTGCCACCCCCAGTGCCACCCCGGTGCCCTCGGTAGGGGCCCAGCCCCGCACGTCACCCCGGTGCTTTCCCGCAGGCCCAGCCCCATGTCCCCTCGTCCCTTCTTAGGGCTCCGGCCCCGTGTATCGCCCCATCCCCTCAGTGGGAGCAGAGCGGGTGTCCCAGCGGGTCCCCCCTCTCCCTCCACATTCAGCAACTTCCCTCTTTACCACCCGCTTCCAAAACCTCTCCCGGCCACGAGTGTCCCCTGAGCACGGGCCGTGAGCCGCAGGGTGCTGTGTGGCAACGGCACAGATCCCTCGCCTGCAGGAAGCAAACCTCCCTTGGTGGAGGATCCTCCTTTCCAGGGGAGGAACGGCAGATAATTTGGGGGTCAGACACCTGATAGCCAAAGGCAGGGATTTTAATGAGAAGTATTTATTTATTGAGTTATAAATAATTGATTGTCATTATAATGGGTATTGGGAGAACAGGGGGAGGGGGCAAAGGCTGGCTTTGTACCCATGTGTAGTTAAAAAATCACCTGCATGGTTTCTATCAGAAAAAGCTACATGAAACTGAAAAGCTGCAGAAGAGGCCATGAGCATGCCTGAGCAGAGCTCCTACTCCAGTTCGCCAGGGGATATTCAAAACTTAAGGAGCAGAGGCAGGCTTGCAGCAGTCAGGACTGAAATGAAACAAGAGCTTGCACTAACCCATTTTAGCAAAGAAGCGTCATTTCTCGTAACGAAGAGACGAAGTGAACAGGTGACACGTCTCTGCGATCCACCTCGTGCAATGGGAGAAAAGGTGGGAAATGGAAAGCCAGCACTGCTGAGCTGGGTGCAGCAGCCTCTAACATCTGGAGGGAGCTTTAATGTGGAAATGATGAAATCTCTCATCAAGTTACAGGGCAAAGATGGCTGCTTTGAGGAGAGAGCCCCAGCAGAAGGCTCCATCCATTTAACACAGACTCTGCTTTTGTTGCTAGGCTACAAGTGGGACGTACATTTATAAGCAAAAAAAAAAAAAGAGAAGTATCTTATAGTGTAGCCATCATTTGCCTTCTCCAGCATTCAGTTTGGTTTTATGATTGCAGGAGGAGAAATCAGAGTGGAAAGTTAATAATCTTTGCAGGTATAAATAAATAGATATTTACTTATAGAAGCTGCTTTGGGGAAGGAGAACTTGGCGAGTTGCTTTGTTAACATTTGGTGTAAGTACATTGCATCGTACTTCTCCCAGTCATCAGCTGTGCTCCTTCTTTCAAATGTGGTAACAAACATAGTGCAAATAGAGCAATACTGTTGCTTAATGACCCCAGTAAGTCTGATATGTGCTCTTTTGTTATCATGCAAAAATGCTTTCTCCCCCTAAAAATCTATTAGTGCTTCTCATCTGAACTAATTATACTGCCAGGATTGACATCCCTGCAGAATGCATTGGGTTCTTTGCCAGAGTAATTAAAATATGGGGGGTAGCTGGGTTTGCCTTTCTGCTGTTGCTTTGCCAATGTGTTGTAGTTTTAAGATAGAATAGACCACCTTTTACTAATCAGAGTGTAGTTAATTTTGTGTCTTTTCTCCTAAGCCAACACAGCAGCTGATAAAGTGACTACTGCTTGTGGAAAAGAAGAATCAGAGTTTGTTCAGGCAAAGGACCCCCAAAAAGGGTCAGTGTGTTATCTGAAGAATAAATAGGCCTAATGGGATGCCTAAGTATTTCTGTATCAAAGCAGGGTGGGAAATGCTTCTAAAGAACTCTGCTCTGCAAAAACAATCAAGCAACCCTGGGTTTTGGTTTATAAATGTGTTGGAGGAAGAAGAGAAGCTGTTCTTCCCCCATTTTATAGCAGCAGGTATTTTTCTCAGCCTCAAGATTTTCCAGCCTGCATCTCTTGTTTCCCGGAATAGGGCACTGTTCTGGGACCCCAGGACGCCAGACTGTTAGGGGGCTGCTTTGAAGAGTGGAGATTAAGGGACCTAAGTGTGTCAAGTGGGGTTTTTTTTTCTCTCTCCCAGTGAATCTGCGCATGAAACATTTTCAGCAGCAACTGACTTCAACTTTTGAACTATTCCTGTTCTTTTGGATTCTGGTAAGCAAGAGGCACTGCTGTTACCTTCTATTTTTACTGGGTTTTCAGTGAAAAGCCTCATCTCTTTCAAAAAAGGAACTCTTAGTTGCCTCTGGGAGATTTTGTGAATCATGATCTGACCTGAGCGCCTTTGCATACATAAAGTTAAGGGTCTAAGTCCTGGTAAAGGACACTGCGCAAGTTACCCCTTCCTTTCAGCATTTGTGTTGGCTAGACTGCTCACTCGCCCTCCTGTGTGCAGGCTGGTGTGAATTCTCTTTCAAGCTGGAGCACGCAGCATGTTCCATGCTTTGTAACAGAGCGTTGCAGGCTGCTGTTTGGGAGTTGGGCACCAAGAAGGGAAATGTTATGATGTTCGTTATCACAGTATTTCTGCACTGCTTTTGAACATAGGCTTCTCTGTTGACTCCCCCAGCTCAGTTTTTGCTGACCTTCTGGAATTGCATGCAAGAGAGGCAAAAGGCTGTTCTCATTAATGGAGTCCACTTCTGCAGTGCAGGAGGCTGCAGCCTGGGCTCCAGCCCCTATATAAGCAAAAAGCAACAGACAGTTACGTACAAAGACTGAGGCAGTACTCTGTCTGGTACCCAATCTAAGGATGTTTGCTGAAGTATCCTCGCTCAGGAGAATTCAGGCCTTTTGTACCTGTTGAGGAAAGCCTGCTGCTGGGGTAGTTCTCACATGAGTTTTTAGCTTCGATACTGGAAAGAAACTGACAAAGTTTCTTAATTGTGGATTGTTTCAAGACTTGGGTTAAAATACAAGGTGTCAGTAACAGAAGAAAATATAAATGATTCCAAGGAAGGTAGCAAAGTTGCTTTTCATCATTTATTCACTGCTGCATGAGTTTATGTTGCCCAGAATTTCCCAGATTATCTGCCCATCTGGGTTATTAAGGCATGCAACAGGGTTTAAAATAAATGATCAAATGTCTGAGTTGTTCAAAATTGAGTGGTATGTTGCTGTCTGAAATAAATTAAATATTCATTGCTGCTCTTTTGGCTATTGCTTTGGTTTGAAAAGTGGTTCTGTGACCTTCAATGTGATGTTTAATATGTGAACTTTGAAAAGGAACAGCAGAGTTGAACTCCTGACAACTCCTGAATCTGCATTTTGTAGAATTGTTGCAACTGTTGTTGTTAACCTTTAAACAAGGTTTAAGGTCTCCTGGTATTGCTAGTTCTGTGGCCTTTTCTCCTGTTAATGTTAGGATTAAACATTAGACCGTGACCTGGCAGGCGATTCCATCTGATCAGAGAGGGCAAAAAATTTGGGTGTGCTTAGTACTAGGGCTTCCAGTTTAGTTCAGTGCCGCTTTCTGATTGAAAGTACAGGATGAAAAAGAAAGTCAAAGAATTATTAATTTAAAGTAAAGGTTTATTTTTTTAGGTTAGTAAAAAAAAATGGAGTTGAGAGGTTTTCTTAAGATGAAGACCTGAGTTTTCGCTCTTTTCTTTTAGTGCTTTTTAGTTTCTTTTTATTTTCTGCTTACTAGGGCTGGGGGAGAGATGAGAAGGCAGGAGCAGGGATCTTTAGAGAGCATGGCAGAGGAGAGGCTGGCAGTGAAATTTGCTTTAAAACTCTTGGGAAGTGCATTTTCACACTGTCTGGTAGGCCATCTGTATCACCACATCTAATTGCATCCAGTCCATAGAACCATGTCTTCGGCTCCACTTTTGGTGTCAAATACATGGCAAGACGTGGCTGTTTCTATAGCTTGACAGTCTTATGCTTACAAAAAAACTTTATAAACACACAATTGCAGCTATGACTCTGAAAATATGCCACAGTGTGAAACATATGGGTAACGAAACCTCTGTGTCAGCGCTGGGGAGCTAAACAGTGCCAAAGAGTGTTTGTTCCCAGTCACAGGAATGCAGTCCCCTGTACTATGTACTTTCTGGAGCACAGCATGGAGCAGTTTTGCCCAGGACAGCTGATGCTCACCCAGACAATCCAGCAGCACAAGGGAGGATTTAGCTGCCATTCTCCGTGGGCAGTTTGGGTACAGCTACCCTACTTAGGAAACTGAAAGGGTTTAATAATATGAATGTGCCAGAGAGCATAGTCCATTATTACTGGTTTAATTTACTAGTGTGGACTGTTACCAACTTCAGGATTTATGGGTGCAAGTGGTTCTAGTAAATACCTTTCTAACTGACCTGTTGTTAGAAAAATCAAGAATGTTTATTATTTCCTTCCTTACTGCATATTTTCCATGATAGATGTTAACTGACTGCATTATGATGCTGTCATTTATCCTTTCCAGTACTGCTGATCCTCCCATGAGGAACATGACCACAAAGTGCCATTTCAGTATGAATTATTAGAGTAACTTGTGTTTGTACAATTACTGTTGTGTCC